GCGGAAGGATCACTGGAGCCCAGCAGGCAAGGCTGCGGTGGCCGGGAGCAGCCACTGCACTCCTGTCTGGGCGACCGAGTGAGACTCCAACTCAAAAAAAAAAAAAAAGAAAAATGTGTCCCAGGAATACAATGTTGAATCCATTAATTCAATATATGTAGGTCAAATAAGAAAAGTCATCATTGTCTCAGTAGGTAATAAAAAGGGTTTGAATAAAATTCAAAATCCATCCCTGATTTAAAAAAAAAAACACATGAGAATCAAGGAGGAGGGAGGAAGATGAGGAAGAAACAGTGAGAATCAAAGATTAGAAGGGAACTGCTACATTATCACTGTAAAGGTTACTGATTTCAGACCCAGGCCAGTCCTTCCCCTCCTGCCTCAGTAACCTGGAGAGGGATCTCCCAAGCAGGCTTAACTGTAGTGGTGAGGTTAAGTCCATTGCCTTCTCTCCTTTCTCAGCCCCTACCTCCATCCCCCACCCCCCTACACTTCCATCCACCCCACCACCAACACACGTATCATTGGTGACACCTTTCTTTTCCTTCCTCTCTGAAATATCCAGAACAGATTACTTTAGGCCAAGAGAAAATTTGTAGGTTATTCATTTTCTCTGAATGAAAATTACTCTATTGTCCTCACAGCACTAAAAGACCCACTGGTCTCTATTCTGGCCATTGTTTTGAATATAAAGAGAAGGGGAGAGAGGTACATTGGATGGATGAATGGAAGGAACAGAAACCCAGGGCCATCAGTCTTAGAAAGAGGGTTATGATCTTGGGGGTGGGGGGGGAGAGTCAAAAAGATGTTAAAAGGAGAGAGAGTAAAGAAGACAATATAGGGAGGTGGGAGATTGCTCTCTAGTACCACTGAATAATATAAAAATATTATCAGAAGACAATCAGTAGTGTTTCTATAAACTAACAATGAACTATCTGAAAGGAACTATCTGTACGCCCATGTTCACTGCAGCACTATGCACGATAGCCAAGACATGGAATAAACCAAAGTGTCCACAGATGGATGAATGGATCCAGAAAATGTGGTACATACACACAATGAAATGCTATTTAGCCTTTTAAAAAATGAAAAAAAGCTGGGCTTGGTGGCTCAGCCTGTAATCCCGCGCTTTGGGAGGCTGAGGTGAGTGGATTGCCTGAGCCTGCGGGTTCGAGACCCGCCTGGGCAACTTGGCGAGACCTCATCTCTACAATAAATCAAAAATTAGCCAGGCGTGGTAGTGCACGCCTGTAGTTCCAGCTACTTGGAAGGCTGAGGTGGAAGGATCACCGGAGCCCAGCAAGTCAAGGCTGTGGTGGCCGGGAGCGGCTACTGCACTCCAGTCTGGGTGACAGAGTGAGACTCCAACTCAAAAAAAAAGAAAAGAAAAGAAAAAAAATTTCATCATTTGTGACAACATGAAGGAACCTGGATGACATTATTAATCCAGGCAAATAAAGAGAAATATTGCATTATCTCAGTTATAAGTATATGGAATTTTTAAAAGTTGAACTCACAGAAACAGAGTAGAATGGTAGTCACCAGAGGCTGGTTGGGGTGGGGGGGAGGTAGGAAGATGGGTAAAGAATACTAAGTTTTAGTTAGGAAAGATGAATAAGTTCTAGAGATCTACTGTATAGAACAATGATTATAGTTAATAAAAATAGACCAGGCTTGGTGGCTCAGCCTGTAATCCCAGCACTTTGGGAGGCCGAGGCAAGTGGATTGCCTGAGCCTGCAGATTCGAGACCAGCCCGGGCAACTTGTTGAAACCTTGTCTCTACGATAAAAATAAAAAACTAGCCGGGTATGGTAGCATGAGCCTGTAGTTCCAGCTACTTGGAAGGCTGAGGCAGAAGGATCGCCGGAGCCCAGCAGGTGGACGCTGGGATGGTCGTGAGCGTGCCAGTGCACTCCAGCCTGAGTGATGGAGTGACTCCAACTCAAAAAATAATAATAATGATGATGACGCATTATATGCTGGGTGTAGTGGCTCACACCTGTAATCCTAGCACTTTGGAAGGCTGAGGTGGGAGGATTCTAGAAGCCAGGAGTTCAAGAACAGCCTAGGTAACATAGCAAGATCCCTCTGTAAAAAATAAAGAGTTTAGATTTCTATACTCCTACTAATAAGTAGTACTTGACATCCCACCTATGACTGCAATGAACTCTAGCCGTGTTTAAAATACATATTTAAGAAATGGGCTGGGCTCGGTGGCTCAGCCTGTAATCCCAGCACTTCGGAAGGCTGAGGCGAGTAGACTGACTGAGCCCATGGGTTCGAGAACCACCAGGGCAGCTTGGCAAGACCTCGACTCTACAATAAATCAAAAATTAGCCAGGCATAGTAGCACGTGCCTGTAGTTCCAGCTACTTGGAAGGCTGAGGCAGAAGGACCGCCTGAGCCCAACAGGTCAAGGCTGCAATGGCCGGAAGCATGCCACTGCAGTCCAGGCTGGGCAACAGGGTGAGACTCCAACTCAAAAAAAAAAAAAAAAAAGGAATAATAATGTGTTACAGACTTGAAACTTGCTAAGAGAGAAGATCTTAAATACTCTCACCACAAAAAAAAAAAAAACAATGTAATGGATATGTGAAATAGTTTGATTGCAGTTATCAATTCAAATGTATACATATAACAAAACATCATAATGTATTCTGTAAATATATACAATTTTACTTGCCAACTATACCTCCATACAACTGGAAAAAGAAAATAAAATATAAAAAAGTAAAAGAAAAGAAGTATCAAAATAGAGTAAAAAAAGGACATCTTGAAATGCTAAAGTTTTCCTAATTTGCCCTTTTGACCTCCCTGCTTCTCCTTTGTCACTAGCAGAAAAAGTCCACAGAAATCATAAAATGGCAAAAGAGTTGGCTGGGCAAGTTGGGGGTGACCAGGAAGCTGCATTGATCACCCCAGGGACATTAGAAGGAAGAAACACCAAACACGATAGAAATGGCAGCTGGGACAGAAGGGGAGGGGGAAACAGACAGGACCTAAGAGGCTGGGAAGACAGGAAGGTAGGCTTTGGGAGCCCAAAAATTTCCATCAGTCAAGACCTTGGGCCTCCTCATTTTCATCTACCTCACCCAGGAGGCCCACAGCAGGAGTCCCCCTGGTGCTGCTGGGACCCACCCACTGTGCACTTCAGCAGGAAGGTTCAGGCCCAAACACAGTCCAAGAAGGTCTGAGAACACAACCTACTGGGAAGCTGGGCCTGCCTGCACCCCCTCACTGACAACCTCCTAATTTTAAAATGAATTCACTCAATAAATTTTCAAATAGGCACTTAAGCCTTTAAAAACAAGAGTATGTATGGGAAATCAGTTGCAGAACACTGGCACCATTTTTTTGGTCAAATCCCTTTACCTGCCAGAAACCACCATCCGAAGAGGGAAAATAAAATCTAAAAGTTACTTTCCTCAATCTTATCAAATATAAACTCACACTCTTGTGGCATATGATTTTCTTTGATGTAGAAAATCATTTCCATAAAATTGTAACACCTGGAGCTAGGATTGCTTTAAGATGAGCTAGTTAAGTCACTCATTTTGTAGATGAAAATGTGAGAAAATGATGGTATATGACTTGAAATAAGAGACCTATCTACAAGAAAGAGTTCAGAGGGGTCCTGGCCAGCAATTGCCCACACAGGATGCCTGCCTAGTGGTCCCTGCACCATCCCAGACACAGGCAGGGTTGTTGTGACCCACTGAATTCCAGGGTCCTTTGGAGGGACGTGTCTTTTTTTTTTTTTTTTTTTTTGAGTCAGAGTCTTGCTCTGTCGCCCAGGCTGGAGTGCAGTGGCACACTCACAGCCACTGCAGCCTCGACCTACAGGACTCAGGCACTCCTTCTGCCTCAGCCTTCCAAGTAGCTGGAACTACAGGCATGCACCCACATAATTTTTTGATTTATTGTAGAGACGAGGTCTCGTCATGTTGCTCAGGCTGGTCTCAAACCCCTAGGCTCAGGTAATCCTCTCACCTCCACCTCCCAAAGTGCTGGGATTGCAGGCATGAGCCACCGTGTCTGCCTTGGAAGGACATTTCTAACAGCCCTTCAGTCAGAAAGGAATTTGAGATTGAAAGGCCTCACTTAGGATTCTGCTCAAAGCCACATAAATTCATAAACCATACTTTCTAATTATCAGAGCCGCATCACTGAGCTCTGGGAACTTGGCTTGGGACAATAAGAGCTTCTCAGTTCTGAGCCAGACCACACTGGGTTTTGGTCTTCTGGTCTACCAGTCTAAAAGACCTTGAACACACTACTAAAGAGGCTCAAAGGATATGACAGTCACCTACATGGTATGAAAACATGGTGAATAATTGTAAAAAAAAAAAAAATTAAGTCGTGTTGCACTACTAATTAGTTCTACTATTATCAAATATTCAGATGCAATAGCAAAGTAGTTTGACTGCACTCACAATGACTGCCCTAAAATTAGGTTGCTGTTGGGACAAATTAAAGTTCAAAAAACTCTGCACTAAGCACATCCTAAAAGTGGAGCACTGGACTAGGAGATGCTAGAGATATGCAGGTGAATGACCCAGGAGCTCACAGTGCGCCAGGTACCAGGCAGGAGCTCCAGGATCCAAAACCATAGGCTGTGTGCTGATATGCCACAGTGCCAGAGTTACTCCCTTTGGCATCTCTCTTCTCTCCACCTATTAATATTTCAGAGAGTTTGTACTTGGATGGATGAGTCACTCGGCACCAATAAGCATTCTGAAAAGGAAGGAAGCAACGAATAAAAAACTAAGTAGCTGGAGTTCACAAATGTCAGAGTGCTGTGTCTAGGTCACAGAAATAGGTGCTAGCAGCCCAGACAATGGCCACATCTCATCTGGGTCGCTGTTTACATATTGACTACTCCCAGCTCAACTTCAATTCCCTATAGTGCTTTTGCTTAATGTCCACGAAGCCTGGGGTTTACTGCAAACTGTAATCTAAAAATATGTTCTCCTTCCAAAACTCATTGACTCACCCCTCTCTTTCATTAATCATATCCAGGCAGCCACCATGTCCGGCTGATCATTCCTTCAAGATGTACGAAATGTTTATCTTAATCCAACCCTTCCTGCCTGTCCCCTCCAACCCAAAAAGCCCAAGCCAGGCCCTCTGGTCTAGATTCCTGATATTGCTTCCTGGCTGGCCTCCCTCCATTCAGTCTTTCTCTGCTTCTGTGGACTCCATGTGTCCAAGGTCAGACAACAACTACTGAAGCATATGTCTGCAGTTGGAGTTTTCTGATTCAAAATATTCAGTGGAATAGCACAAGTGCAGAAGTACAGAAAGGACTGAACTTTCTGGCTTGAAGACGCAATGTCCTGCAGCACTTCTCCCCATTCCCTGAACTAGGCCTCCACATTTGTCACCCAATAAAGATTTTCAGTGCAGAATCTAGCAACTAAATGTAACATTTGGACATATGACTATTTAGTTGCTAGATTCTGCACTGAAATGGAAATATGCCATAGGAATATCAGTTCTTATCTTAGACAGCCGTTCTGAACATCAGACATCTGCAGAATATTCAATGAAATCGGCTTTTACAGATATGACTTCTATATATATTTTTTTTTAGTTGGAGTCTCACTCTATCTCCTTCCAAAACTCATTGATTCACCCCTCTCTTTCATTAATCATATCCAGGAAGCCACCATGTCCGGCCGATCATTCCTTCAAGATGTATGAAATGTTTATCCTAATCCAACCCTTCCTGCCTGTCCCCTCCAACCCAAAAAGCCCAAGCCAGGCCCTCTGTACTCCAGCCTCTATCTCCCAGGCTGGAGTACAGTGGCACGCTCATGGACACCTCAGCCTCGACCTGCTAGGCTCAGGCGAGCCTTCCTCCTCAGCCTTCCAAGTAGCTGGAAGCACAGGCACGTGCCACCATACCCAGCTAATGTTTTTATTTATTGTAGAGACAAGATCTCACCATGTTGCCCAAGCTAGTCTCAAACCCACAGTCTCAGGCAATCCTCTCACCTCCACCTCCCGAAGTGTTGGAATTACAGGCGTGAGCCACCATGCCCAGTGACTTCTATTTTTAAGATACCAATTCATACGATGGGTTACTATACACTTATAAAAAATGAGCATGGTCTCTGTATAGTGATATGAAGTTTACCCCCAATATATTACTAAGTTAAAAATTAAAAGCAAGATAAATAACAGTATGTTTAGTGCTGCCTTTGAATAAAAATAGGGAGGGATATTTGTAACACCTGCATAGAAACACTCTAGCTATATAAGAAACTTAATAGGAATAAGTTGTGTAGAAAAGTGAGTCAAAAAAATAACCTGGGCTTATGGGCAAACAAGAAAGAAAAAGAGATTTCTCATGGGATACTAGTTATGCTTGTGAAAACTATGTAAATATATTATCTATTAAAAGTTAATTTTTAAAAAGGCAATTGATCGCCTGTATGGACTGCCTCCAAAAACCCTTAACTCTGTCTAATCATGGGAAAGAACATCAGACAAATCCTAACAGTGGGACAATCTACAAAATCTCTAACCAGTCTTCCTCAAAATTGTCAAGGTCATCAAAAATAAGGAAAAGACTGAGAAACTGTCACAGCCAGAGGAAGCCATGGAGGACATGACAACTCAATACATTGTGGTATCCTGGATGGGATCCTAAAATAGAAAAAGAACATTAGGACATTAGGCAAAAAGTAAGGAAATCTAAAAAGCTGATGGACAGCCGGGCTCGGTGGCTCAGCCTGTAATCCTGCGCTTTGAGAGGCTGAGGTGAGTGGATTGCCTTAGCCCGTGGGTTCGAGACCCACCTGGGCAGCTTGGCGAGACCTCATCTCTACAATAAATCAAAAAATTAACCAGGCTCGGTGGCTCAGCCTGTAATCCCGTGATTTGGGAGCCTGAGATGAGTGGATTGCCTGAGCCCGCGGTTTCAAGACCCACTTGGGCATCTTGGCGAAACCTCATCTCTACAATAAATCAAAAATTAGCTGGGCGTGGTAGCGCACGCCTATAATTCCAGCTACTTGGAAGGCTGAGGCGGAAGGATCGCCGGAGCCCAACCGGGAGTGTGCCACTGCACTCCAGGCTGGGCCACAGAGTGAGACTACAACTTAAAAAAAAAAAAATGCTGATGGACTTTAGTGAGTTATAGTGAATTATAATATATCGATATGGTTCATTAATTGTAACAAATGTACCATGGTAGTATAAAATGTTAATAACAGGCAAAACTGGGTGTGGGGTATGTGGGAACTCTTTGTATTATCTTCTAAATTCTTCTGTAAATCTAAAACTTTTCTAAATTTTTAGAAAGCTTTTTAAAAATGCTATTCAAATCATGGGGGGAGGGGAAGGAACAACAAGTACCCAGCCTTGTGGCTATGTCAGGAACCTAAAGGTAAATGGCCCAGGTTAATTCACCAAGGCACCTGCACCACCCAGTCTCTCTAATAGAATGGGCCATAAGAGTAAGGGAAGGAGGGGCTAATTCTGTTCCACCCAAGGGATGCAGGGAGGAAGGGGGAACTTTGGGCTGGATGAGGAGAGGCACAAAGACTTTCTGGGCATGAAGGATTTGTTCTGTCATTTGTTGGCTATATGATCTTGGGCAAATGACTTCACCCTTTCAGATCTCAGCTTCCTCATGCAGACAATTCAGAGGATGGATCAGATAGCTCTATCATGAAAACCAGCTCAAAAAAAAAAAACCTGACACATTACAATGGGGTCTTTCCCGGGATGCTTTCTTCCAAATAAGCCACAAGCTCAGTCCCTGACTTCAAGGATAGCTGTAGAAGGCAGTGGGGAGGTGAGGATGGAGGATGGGAAGGGTTTCCCCCTTCACCTACCAATCACTAAGACTCATGTTCATCTATTAGTTATTCAACAAACATGTACCAGGCACTGTTCTAGGCATGGAGGACACAATGATGAATAAACCAGACAAACTCCCTTCCTCAGGGAGCTTATATCTTGGTTAGGGGAGAATTCTAGTTGGAGGAGATGAGGGAGACAGTGAACAAGTTAAGTTGGTACATTAGATGGTGACAAATGCTAAGGAGAAAAATCAAGGAAGGAAAGGACATGAGAAGAATGTGGGGAGGAGGCTGCAGCTCTAGCTGGGAGCAGCCAGGAAAAACTTGGCTGAGCAGAAGTCACTGAGAAAAGTTTTGCGGTGTGGAGGAAGCCAGCCATGCAGATGTCTGGGAGAAGTGTCTTCCAGGCAGGGGGATGTAGTGGTGAAGCATGGTTGGTACACTAGAAGGACTGGGGAATCGGGGGCTGCTGGAGGGGTGCTGGTGTTGCTGGAGTGAAGGATGCCAGGAGAAAGTGGCAAGGGAAAGTCAGGGAAGTGAGGGAAGAGTTCACAGAGCCGCGCAGGCCACTGTGTGGACTCAGGGAAGTCACTGAAGGCTTTAAGCAGAGTGACATAATCTGATTTGAGCTTTCACAGGATCACTCTGAGTGACAGCCGAGAATAACTAAAGGGAACAAGTGGAGAGGTAGGTACCAGCTCTGCAAGAGACAAGCAACCACTTCTGGAAAACTCTGGCTGAGAGGGGAGGGAATTCAGTAAAGAGAGTAAATAAAGGGCAGGTTACACCAAGCATCCACCACAGGGGATGAGTCAAGCTAGTCTTGGAGCAAACTTCATCATGTGGCCCAGGAAGCGAGGCCTGCATTCAGTAAAAGCAAGAAGCTTCACAAACAAGTGGGTGCCCCCCAATAAAGCGATCCTTGACATTTATAAAGTCCATTAATCCCATTCCAAATGGAAAGAAGGAAAACAAACCATGGCAGTCGGTTTCCCAAAGCCCTTGCCTCCAGCCAGCTGAAAATACCTGTGAAAAGAGACCCTATCCCATTAACCCCGCTGCACACTGCCATGTGAAAGAGGTCTTATTATTTAAGTACTGTGTAATTGTCCCACATTACTGATATCGTTAAAACTGCTCAGAATATTTCCACGACCAGGCTGAAGAAGAAAAAGTAGTTACCAGGGCAGGCAGGCACAAAGGGCCTTTTGCCAAACTACTTAGATATTTTAATTCCCCGTTGCCTCAGTAGCTAAATAAGCATGGAGAACAAGCCGGCGAGGAATACTAATTAGAGCTAATTAGACCCTGCCCTCTTCTGCCTCAATCCCCTTTATAAAAAGCCCCCCTGACTCGAAGATGATGGAGTTAAAATGTAAACCTATAGGATAAACAGCAGCCTACAAACCAAGTCCACTGTTTGCATTTCATTGTCCTGTCAGCTCTAAACCTGTGCCTGGTTTATTCAAGAGAATTCCAATAGCCCCATCACAGACCATGAAAAATGCGCTGGTCAGTGAGGGGCGCAGTAAGGGTAAGGGTGCTGCCAACATGAGCCCACAGAATAAAAGAAAGGGCTCTCTAGGACCTGCAGGGCATTTAATGATTGTTGTTAAGAGAAAATTTTATTGCTTAAAAAAAAACTATGACAGTAAACATGACTCCAGTCATGCAGCAGAATCAAGACCATGTTCCTCCCTGTCTGAAAGGGCAAGAGCTGCAGGGAAAGGTCTCACCCCGATGCGACCCCCGGACTTCCTTCTCTTTGCATTTCCCTGGAGACCTATGAGAACATCGTGATGGGCACTGGTTGCCAGATGGGTGTTTGGAATCCGCTGATCTACTCCAGGCTCTGGAGTGATTATATTCCCATTTAAAAATCCTTGCTACAGTATTAAAGTTTGAATTAGGGCCTGAACGAAGTTTCTGTTTGCTCAGAACCCTCCTCCACTCTGGTTTTATGGGAAGACGGCGTCCTAGGGTCCTATTTGGCGGCACTTGGCTACGGGTTAACAAGGAAAACGGGGTAGGGTGGGGTTGTCAACCCACCAGGGAATTGTTTAAAATGAGTCCCTGACACCTAAGGTCAGTTTCCTGCTGAAATTAGTGCAGAGATGAAAGTGTGGTTAAAACATTCAATAGGCCACTGGTCCGGGACACCCAGGCAGGCATGGCCCTGAAGGTCACCTCTTTCTTTTCTCTGGGCAACTAAGTTTTTTCTTTCAAATCATGTTCCTGGTAGCAAGAGGAAAACACACTCTGAATAAAGTAACTATGATGCTTCGAGAAGAAAAGAAGAAAAAGGAAGGGAAGGAAGAGAAAAGAAAAACAGAACGTTGAAATTGGCTCAGCAACACTGGGAAAGTAGGAGAAATCACACAGACGTGAGCCGGCCCCTTCTGACCCTGAGAAGCTCCGGGGTACTAAGAGGGAGGTGGCAGGTTTGAAGGCCAGGGACTCAGCTTGTCCTACCACCACGCTGCTGAGGGGGCTGGCTGAGCTTTATGGGAAGTGGCAGAAGAGAAGCCTGTGGTCACAGAACGAGTCAATGGGAAAAGGGAAGCCCAGAGGTGTTGGAAATAAACCACCATGGCTCAATGCTTTCCCCCTAAGCTAAGTCAGGTAGGAAAAGGTCCCAGGATCAAAAAGCCACAGTCCCCGGTCCACCACTCCCAACCCAAGGAGGGAGAGGGAGCAAGTCACTTAGCCCCGTCGCAGGCATCCTAAAAATGGAGATAATTGTGAGGAAGTATATGAACGCGGAAAAAGAGAAATCACCAAGCAAATGGAAAATAATATATTTTTAAAATTCTACACGACTGAAAATACTTGCTTTTTTTATGAGAATTACAGAACGTCAAGCTGGTAGAGAACTTAGATGCCATCTCCTTTAGCAGTTTCCAAACTTTCGGACTTCACAGAACACAGATGTAAAAAGAAAACAAACAGAAACAGAGAAGGGAAAGTAATATAGGATTGCCAGTTTTCTTTATTTTGCCAAAAAGTAAAAACTACCATCTATCATCACTAAAAAGTATTAAAAGAAAAAGTTCCCGCCAAAAACCAAAAAGGACATGATTTCAAACTAAAGGACAGTCCTTGTGAAGCAGGGGCTGCTGACAGTGATATAGTCCTGTGTGTGACATGCCACATCGTCCTTTCCTTTGCATTTCCCTGGTACTCATGGAAATATAGTGATGGGCACTGGTTGCCGGATGGGTATTTGGAATGCACTGATCTGCTGCAGGCACTGAAGTGATTATTTTCCCGTTTAAAAAAATTTTTAAAAACAACTTTGCTACAGTATTGTTTGAATAGGGCCTGAACTAAGTTTTTGTTTGCTCAGACCCCCTCCTCCCCTTTCAAACATCAACGACCACTGCCTCATGTAAATGAGACATCTTAGGGGGAACAGCCTTCCCACCCCTCGGGCAGCCAGGCAACCACTTGGCTCACAAGAGCAATCAAGTATCTCGGCTCGAAAGTGAATAGAACACTCCAACACACAATTATTTCCTAAGGGAAAGGAGGAATGGAAAAAGTTTGCATCCCAAACAAGTGCATCCTTCCTCCGGGGCCTCCTCACTGCCACGTCCAGCCCTCTCCCAACTCTGAAAGCTTAAAGCAGGTAACAGGACTCCTCACAAAGCAGCCCCCCACTTGGCAGTGTCGGGCAAAGGCAGTCTCAGCAGCCCTCGTTCGCTGCTCCGGTATCCTCCACAGCTGGGGGAGTGTGAGGCTTGGAATGTCTGTAAATCGCGGGGCAAAGTCAGGCGGAAAGAATCTGATCCGAAGTCCCAGGTGGGGCCATGGCTTGGGACGCGGGTCTCGCCTCGGGTTTGCGGTGACTTGGGGGGAGGACGCAGGCGAGGGTGGGTGCGTCTCTAGAGGCAGGCGGTTGGCCCGGGAGCAGTGAAACTCCAGGGTTCGCCGTGGGGCCTTGGGCACCCGCAGTTTCAGGAGACGAGCCGTCTGGAGTCGCCGTGGCCCCGCGCTTTGGCTCCAGGGACGACTCGGGGTCGGGTCCCCAGTCTCCCACCGCCCCTCGCTTTCCCGGGACCGGAGCACCGGCGGCATCACTCCTCGTGTCGCAGCAGCCCGCCCGCCCCCGGCCGGCCACAAGGGCCGCTTTGTGCCCGCGAATGGAGAACCCTGGCCCCAAAGCCGAGCGGGCGGCGGCCCTCCCCGCGCCCAGGACGCG